TGAATGACTGAGCATTTCAGGGAAGCTTTTTTTATACCCACAAATGGCACCCACCTGTTCCCAGTTGTCCTGTTCACTTGCGGGATGTTCCAAACAGGTGTTTGATGAGCATTTCTTTTTTTTTTGCCACCTGTTCCAGCTTTGTTGGAACGTGTTGCAGCCATAAAATTATTTTTAATTGCTAACAACCATCATGGTTATCAGTTTGAACATTACTTGTCTTTGTTGTGGACTCAATTAAATATAGGTTGAAGCTTATTTCCAAATCATTGCATTCTGTTTACGCTATGTAACCCATGTGCTGCAGTCGATGTAAATAAGTTTATATAACGCAACATACAATTTTACAAAAATTGTCAAAGTATTATTCCTGAATATTTATTTCAATTTCAACCACTCGACATGTTCAGTGGCATCAGTGCTATACATACACATATAGTTCTTATTTTTTTCTTTGTATTTTTGCCCTCTATGGACAATAAAAGCGGTATTGTGCTATGACCAAAACATAAATATAAATCTACATAAATAAAACATGAATTGGAATATTTCATATCACACACTTTTTATGCTGTGTCTTTGATTTAAAGATGACGTGATGAAGAATACGCAAAAATCTACAAAAATTGTAGAAATTGTAACATATGGGGTAACCCATGTGTTACAAACATCGTAGAAATTGCAGCACAAGGGGTTTACCATAGCGTTCCAACATCAATGGAATTGGGTTTGTGTGCATGGTTGGTGAATTGAAGACTCTAAATTGTCCCTAGAAGTGAGTGTGAATGGTTGTTGATTGGCTGGCAACCAGTTTGGGGTGTACCCCACCCACTGCACAAAGAGGCCTGTGATAGGCTACAGGACGCCCACGACCCTCGTGAGGATAGAACGGGTTAGAACACCCGTTTCACAGTTCAGAGGGTTTGAATCCGGCCCTGGCCTTCCTGTGTGGAGTTTGCATGTCCTCCCCGTGCCTGCGTGGGTTTTCTCTGGGTACTCACTCTGGTTTCCTCCCATATTCCATGGTAGGTTGATTGAACGCTCTAAATTGTCCCTAGGTTGATTTTAACCGCGAATGGTTCTTCGTCTTTGCGTGCCCTGCAATTGGTTGGCAACCAGTTCAGGTTGTACCCCACCTACTGCCCGAAGACAGCTGGGATAGGCTCCAACACACCCGTGACCCTTGTGAGGATAAGCAGATTAGGAAATGGATGGATGAATGAATGAATGAATGGATATGCACTGATCTGTTAAAATACCAACACCAAGGGAACCCCACACACAGCTAGAGCAAATTCTGCGCCAGATTTACACAAAGCACAAATATAGACCCCAGAGACTGACAAGAGTGAGTGGCAAGGCAGTGAAGATAAAAAGCTCATGCATTCAGAGACTGTGCAAGAAGACAACTACTGAAAGAGGAAATCAAGTTGTAGTGCAATCGAAACAAAATTGAGAAATCGTCAACTCTTTTAACCCTTTTAACCCTGCACCAATAATGACGACCTGTAACCTGATAACGTGGTAGGCTGTCCACTGTCGTAACCGCTGTCCCTGAAGGGGTTAAAATGACAGCTGGATGATTTTTCGTGAACAAAAAGGACTTGGTAGGAACTGGGGTGAAGTGGGTGAAGTGTGTAAAGAGTATATCAAACAGTCATTGATGAAGAAAATATTTCTTGGAACTACAAATGCATGGGTGTAGACCAGGGGTGCCCATTACGTCGATTGCGATCGACCAATAGATCAAGAACTGGTCCCAAGTCGATCCGAGGGGTGTAGAGGGGAAAAAAAACAAACAAACATTTGCGTCTCTGTGCATGTTAGTACCGGTAATATATTTTTCGTGTTAATGCACACTGCACCCAAATCATTCTATCAGTCACAAAAAAGTATTTTAAAAAGAAAATAAAATAAAGCAGGTCATCTTTAACCTATGGTGATGTGTGACTGCGTCACCGGAAGTTGTTCGCGCTCAGCAATCTGCAGTTGCAGCTTGTGATCAGAGTTGTTGCGCTATATCTTTTATCGTTATCATTATTCTCATTCAGAGTTTGTTTTGTACAATTCACCAAGGGGACGGGCAAAAAAATGGGAAGTTGGAGGGCCGAGAGAAGCACTTTAAAACGGTACACGTGAGCTACGATCGTTAACAGGCTGCCGAAGTGCGTTGCATGCCTCAGCGTCAGGCTATTGCTCATCATGGCATGCGTGTGGACGTGCGCGCGTGCGTATGCGCGCGTGCGTGGTAACGGGTCGATCACGGGAGGTTGGTTGATCAAAAAGTAGATCTTTGGTCAAAAAAGTTTGGGCACCCCTGGTGTAGACGTTTCTGACCGGGTTGCCACCTTTTGATTTTATAAAGTACGCAACATCCTTTTCTTCTTACATGTACTGTACTTACATGGTCGCAACGTCGTGACCATCTGCAGTCTCACGGTATGTACCCAAAAAGTTAAAACACCGCTTTAAAGGGACAATGTGAAAAATGCACTTGCTGTCTCGTGAACTAATCGAATGTGACAATGTGAGTTCGAAGCATCTGCAATTTGAAGCACACGCACGATGGTGCCTAGAGAGAGATGACACTTATTATACCACCGATTTCTTCCAAGCAAAATGTTATTGCAAACATCTTCTCATATTGCCTCAAGTGATGACGTGAGTGCATTGCATCTGTTACACATGCGGGAGTCATGATGTTGAGGAGTTATGATCGCTAAGTTTGTCCACTTCGGATATCCATAGCAGAAAGGTGGCGGCCAAAAATGGCAGCCTCCGATAAGATGAGGCGCAAGCCTTGTAATATTTTTATTTTTTTTTGCATGTTATTTATGAACCTTGAAAAATACAAAAATTCTCCACTATGTCCCTTAAACAAAGATATTATTCAGAATGGGTAGGATACAGGAAGTAATCTTTTTTTTTAAACATTCAATATCTTTTATTGAAACGGCATAGTACATCCTTTGAATAACACTTTCGCACCTTAAGATTTACATTTTCCACAAAACTTCCCGACCGCAACAGACTTGCAACTCATTTTGAAAATTTACGAAAATTCATACACCAAAACATTAATTGTAAGAACACTTCAAAATGACAGTGATGGCACATGTACTTCTGAAACAAAACCACTTGCAGACAACCTGGGTTGTGCGTAAGGGAACACATCATTGAGGTACTCACATCTCATTTATTACATCAATTTTACAGTTGTTAAAACAATCTAACAAGAAAAAAAAAATGAAAGAACGATCCTATTTAATACATTACAACATTTCCCACAACTAATTACACTTTGGAAATAGATACACATACAGTGGTTCCTTGACTTATTTGACACCCAACTTACGAGTTTTTTGAGATAAGAGCCAATGTTCGGACAATATTTTCACTGGGTGATGGACGTAATGATGTGTGTGTGTGTGTGTGTGTGTGTGTGTGTGTGTGTGTGTGTGTGTGTGTTTGTTGGGCTAACAACAACTCATACAACAAATATTGTCCCTTTGGAGCCTGCTAGCTAAATGCTAACCCACAATGCAAAATGCCACAGACCGGCTACCAAACTAGCATCAATGTTGCAGTAGTTGTAAACCTTTAAACCAGGGGTGGCCAACCAGTCAGAGACGAAGAGCCAATTTTTTTACTGAGTTACTGCAAAGAGCCACATCATACCCTTCCTCACACACGCACACACACACTTTTTTGGCCAAAGATCGACTTTCGAAGCGACCAACTTCTCACGAACGACTCGATCGCGCACGTGCAAGCATACACGCGCACGCGCACACGCACACACACACACACACGCACGCGCTCGCACTCAAACGGGTGCCCACCAGTGCACTCGCGCACATATGCACGCACAACACGATGAGCAACAGTCGGAATGGGCCGAAAATGAATGAAAGCTAAAGATACAAATAAACAAATCATTTTTTCCCCCCCACCCATTTGCTCCTCCCACCCCTTACGGTCGACTTGGGACCAGTTCGCTGGCTCCCGGTCGATTCTGATCGACGTATTGGGCACCCCTGCCTTAAAATCAGAGGTAATTCGCTGACTAGCTTAGCACTTAGCGCCGTTGTTTGCGCATGAGCGGTGATGCAGTCATCTGATTGGTTGCTCTCTATGTCAATAAAGTAACGGGATTGATGATAGGCTGACGGAGTATGTTCTGTGAAGTTGGCGCCTTGTCTGAATGGCATCGCCGCTGCCGAGGCGTTTGCGACGCTTGTCGTGTGAGAGCCCGGGAGCCGCATTGAACCAGCCAAAGAGCCGCATGCGGCTCGCGAGCCGCGGGTTGGCCACCCCTGCTTTAAACAATGGATCTTTGAACATAAATGGTGCAGCAAGACATGCAGATGAAAATGAAAAATACTCACTGATATATATTTTTTTATGCTGCGCAAAAAGAATAACGAAAAATACTGCATCTTACCGAGCTTTAGCTGTGACCATTTTTTTAGTTTGTATTATTTATGCATTGTACTGCCTGCTGGTGGCTAAGGCGTGCACACCATTAGAAATGAATTAAACCAATTAATTAACATATTTGCACATTATGTTATTACAGTATGTTACAATACTGTACAGTAATTTTTTTTTTCACTTTGAAAAAAAACTATCAGTGTTTTTCGCAGGGCAGGAAAGCATGAACAGCTTTCCCTGAATTCAATGGGAAAAGATGATTTGAGATACAAGGGATTTGAATTTCAAGTGTGGTCACGGAAAACAAACTCGTAAGTCAAGGTACTACTGTAGTCAGACACACACCCACACTGGGTTGTATTCTCACATGGACACTAAACTACAAAACAATATCCAAAGAGAGACCTGATTACAGACAGATACTGTATCTTATATTACATTCAACAAGATTTCTGAATGGTTCAGTGATGAGGACGGGGTAATTTGTGCTCCACAAATGGTTTGGGGTTGGAAGAGAATTACGGGATTAAGTGGAGGCACAGACCACACAGCGAAAGGATGAGTCCTTTTTTTTGCTTTTCAGGTCAGAATTTTGCATCGCTTGAGCAAAGAATCCGGGGGCCTCGGAAAGTATCCATTTGTGCATGGTTTATCTGGAGAAAACCTGGGAAACTTGTAATCCAGAGGGAGATCTATGAGGAGGATAAGTTTGAAAAGTTATTCAACACATGTGCAGGCTACCTACAGCTGTAAAGTCTTACTACTATCAAAAACGGAGAGTAAATAATTCATAGGAACAACAGTGAATCACATATGTTGACATAGCGAGGAGTGAACTCCTTTAGATGTTTTTAAATGAGATTACAGACCAAGGACCTGTTTTACAAAGGTTGACCTGTTTTTACCTCAGAAAATCCCTTTAACCATAACAAAGTGTTACTATATAACACCAAACATTATCGTTTTTTTGTAAGTAAGCAAAGTTGCGCCCATGTTGTGTGTGCCCACATCAACGTGAAAAACGACTGACATGCAAGTCATTCCTCTGTCTGTGACACTTTGATCCTCTCCTCTTTCATCTATAACTGCTTCAAACAACAAAGTGTATGCAGGAAAAGTGATTAAGATTGCACGACTCTCTGTGTCTAATGTGTTGTGTTGTTATTTTGTTATTTTGACTTCAAGATGGCGCCGCGAGAGTGGCTGCCTTTCCAGCAGCTCGCATATTTTGTTCTTCTACTTCTTTCTTTCATAACTTTGCTGCTGTGAATTGGGAATTTCTCCATTGCGAGACTAATAAAGGTTTTCTAATCGAATCGAATGTAATTGGTTGTTTTTCCTTGGGCACAGTAAATTCTTCTACATCAAATTAGAGGCACAGGATTGTTAGGGAGGGGCCAGCCAGGCAGCCTTCTCAGCCAGGGTGCACTGCACCCTCACACCTGAGGCTCACCCGCTAATCACCAACCTGTAGCTCATCAGCTCGTTTGGTCTCATTGCTTTGGATGTGACCCCAAACACGCGACAAGGCACAAACTTGCACTGAGGACTGGTTCGGGAGCCAATTTATCCCAGATCAAACGAGCTGATGAGCTACAGGTGGGTGATTAGCGGGCGAGCGTCAGGTGTGAGGTGCCGCATGTGAGACTCTTTGTCCGTTCCAAGTCATTGTAAATACATCGCTAATAATATCATAACAATGGAGATCAATCTATCCCAAACTATATGTTGACATCTCTACTTCCTGTAGGGCCACTTTAACCTCTTAAAAGATCACAAAACGGTTAGCCTTGCCATGGCTGACTAAAAAGATCATGAGGAAATGAGCATCTTACGTGCACTTTCTGTCAGGTCTCGTCTGTTTACTTTAAAAAGTCACCAAGGTGGCAAACAATGCGTTCGCAGAGGGTTTTTCGTCAGCTTAATTGTAATTCATATACAGTGTTAGATTTTAATCCATAAGCATTAGCTTCGTGTCAAACGTGGCACACTAAGCTGTAGCATCGGCCTCCTCGCTGGACCTCAGGAGCGCCAAATTTTTCAAATATGAAATACTGATTGGTTGGCATTCATTTCATCGTATTTATTCATGAAATTTGTGCTGGCCCAATTGCGTCTGAGAATTTTGGTTGGCCCGACACAGTTACGTTGTGGCTGTGAATGTATTGCAGAACCCTGGTTAAGTTAGAGTGTGTTCCCAAAAATGTTTTTTTGTTTGTTGAAAAAAAAAACATTCATATTAGTTTTAACATGAATTTACACTTGTTAAGAATTAAAGACGACCTAAAACAAATATTGGATAATTACAAAGGTGTTATACTGCTAACTAAATGGATGAAGTTTTGACAATGGCTGCTTTTCTGAGGCCACTACAGATTGAGACTACTGTCTGCAGCCATTTTTCTTGCTGAGACTTACTTGCTATGTGCTCAACACTAGGAATGGCCATGGTGCTGTATTTGTGAATGCAGTGACAGCACCAGGTCAGTTTCTGGATCTCCTCGTCTTCTCCACCACTTTTATGTACATCAACAAAGTAGGAACCCCACTGGTTAGACATCGTGGAAGGTGACTTCATGCTTTCCTGTTGAGACAACATGCAAACGATAAGACATTTGACAATTCATTTATCTCTTCATTTACAGACTAACTGGAGAACCCCCAAAATTTGGAGCATACATTTTTTCCGCCCTTGTTTAAATCTAAATAATTTGCGAACATCAGGGATGTGAAAATGCAAATGTATATTTTGGACAAAAAAAGCACTTTAATAAACGTGCTCCCATCGCAGCAATGATTACCAAAGCATTTTACTCTCAACGGTTTTAAATGTTTTAAATTGTTTTAAATGGTTCTATATCAATTCTAGGTGTGCGTGATATGGACAAAATTGTTTCACATAACTACAATATAATCTGATTAACCCATTTAATCCACGACACACACACACACACACACACACATAAATAAATAAATAAATAAATATATATACATCCATATACATATATACATCCATATACATATATACATATATACATATACATATACATATATATATATATATGGATGTGTGTGTCTTTCAAAATATGCGTGTATAAACACATCTCACGTCGCCCCTGCCCCCCCACTAGAGTGTACTGGAAGGTCTGACGCAACTTCTGACTGAAGGATCAGGCTTGACTGCAGTGTGAATCATTTTTTTTTAAATGGCCAGCAGATGACAGAGGTTGTGAAATCAGCCAGAATTATGTCCCAGAAGAAGTACACGCAAGATGGTGGAGAACCAGCCTGTGTAGACTGGGCATGCATGTGGAAAAAACAAAAAGACTAAATATGGATAAAGCTGGACAGCTGATCCTCGAGGGGTTGTTTTGGGTGGGGGCAGGGGGGTCAAAAAATAAAGCTCCTGTCTCAACATGATGATGGTGATCAAGTGGCTTTGGTTGAGAGAAAGACACGTCATTTCAAAAAAACGTAACAAGCAGCCATCATGTGGCCTTCCTCATGGGTACCGCAGCCATGCCTCACTGTGCGTTCCCCCTGAAACTTCCCCGGATCATAGCGATGAAGATGCTGGATATGTGCTGGATCCAGCCGGATCCACGTATGTCTGGTGAGAGATGAAAAGGAAGCAGCAGGAGAGCCTTCGCCCTTGGGAACGAGTAGGTATGCGCTACCTGGCTGGCAAGTTCCCCTTCGTCGCTCACGCTTCTTCCATATGTGGACGAATAAATGCGGCTTTTATGTGCAGTAGTCGGACTTGCCTAGTTTCATTCTTTGTTATTGGCATTGGTGCAAAAAATAAATAAATAAAAAAAAAGACATCTGTCAGCCCTGCAAAAACCACTGCTGCCCATTTCATTTATTCAGTAAATTGTATTCTGAGAAATAAGGAATAAATGAAAGATGTGTGTGTGTGAGAGAGAGAGAGAAAGAGAGAGAGAGAACGAGCAAATGTAAGCCGCATGTGGGTGCGTCAGAGAGACGAAGAGATGGAGAAATGTCACAATCAGCGACAATAGCAAAAATATGGCAACAATAAGAAAAAAAAAATGGTTATTGTAGATTGCGCATCCAGGCGACCCCCCCTTGTGTTGGTGTAAAGGTGAATAAAAGTATTCATTTCAGACTGCAACATTAAAATATATCACATGCTCCAATTGTTTCTGTTTTTTATAATTTACTTGTCATGCATGTGGAAGTGATGGGGATCATTCGGGCTGGCAATCAAAAACCATCCACTTCACAGCAACCCATAAACAGTGCCTGCATGGCTGGATTCTGACCAGCCAGCTGACTTCCTGCAACTCCTTCAAACCGACAAGCTGCCACCACTAAAAAGGCTAGACCGCAAAGAAAATGCCGGGTTTGCTTGCGGCAAGGCAACAAAGTAGAATGTGGTGTGAAACAAGGAAATGTTTTGTTCTTGATACCACACACGTGCACGCACGCACGCCCCCACACCCACACGGTTTCTGTGCGTGTGTGTGTGTGTGTGTGTGTGTGTGTGTGTGTGTGTGTGTGTGTGTGTGTGTGTGTGTGTGTATGTGTGTAATTTGTAGGGTCCAGGACGTGCGAACATAAGCGCACATGCACGCAGTCACACACTCAACTCAATCACTCCTGTCCATACTTCAGTTCAATCGTATGTGAAAAATCAACGGTTCGTTTGCAACGAAAAGCCCTTTTGGTCGTGTTGTTTATGTTGCTTTGCTGAAGGAAATTATTTCGATATTTGAACTGATAAAAAAAAAAGTAGGAAAAAAGAAGGGTTAAAGTCTAAGGTACCGTATACTTGAAATAATTTTACAAAAAAAGCTCGTCTCGGTTTTTTTTTCGCCAAAAATTTGAATTTTGATAAAATGTTGCTATATTCAGATGCTGACTGGTAAAAAAAAAAAAAACGGAAAAAGATAGAAGTCTTTTTTTTCATGATGGAAGAAGGGGTTCTAATCTTTCTTTTGGTCATTCTGACGAACTTGTGCAGTATGTTTCCAACCAAAAAAAAAAAAAAAAAAAAACCTGAAAATGCAAACTTAAATTCAGGAAGACTCTTGCAACACAAATCAATCTGAATTGATTTCTGAACTGATTATATATACAGTATATGTTTTATGTGTTGTGTTGTATTATTTTGTCATTTTATGTTAAGTGTTGTTTTGACGGCAGCGCAGGCACCCGCAGCGGCTCCTCTTGTCTGTTGTCTGTTTAAGTGGGAGGAAATTTTATCTGTGCTGTATGCATATTTGACAATAAAGTTGTACTTGACTTGACTTGATATATGGCAAGCGATGACATGAAAATAAGAGACCATACCTCAAATTTTCCCTTTTTCTCCTGTGGCTCCACTTGGGCCTCATTTGATTTTGCTGCATCACTCTTGGGGACACCCTCCCCCTCCATTTCCTCCACAATCATCACTGTTTCCCACTTTCCAAAGCTGCTAGCAGGAAACATGTCCGACCTCATGCTATCTCCAAAATACACAACCTACAGGGTCAGCAAAAAAAAAAAAAAGGACATGGAAATGTGAAAAGACATCTGGCACATGATAGCACCTGAAAGACCGCAAGCAAGTTCAAACAAGTCACATTCCATGAATTGAGCTGCAGGCATACGACACTCAATGATTTACATCTCATGAAAGACGTCGTCTTTTTTTTTTCCTCAAACAGAAGGTGAAATCAAGTGAGCGTGGTTTGAATTTTGAATTTGTGTTGATTTTCTTATTTGCCAATGTGAAAAAAAACAATCAAACATAGCGATGACTTTGGCAGCCGTTGGCAAGAGCTCTTCAAGAGCTTTGCTTTTTGTTGTTTTTGTCTTTTGTTTGATCATATGATGTTTGTTGTCCTTCGCGTGGACCTGATGTGGACTGTTTTCAGCATTTTAATCACGACATTCGTCAAAGGAGAAGAATTTGTGCTTGGTGGTTGCGCCTTCTCGGCAGCACGCGTGTACCAGCACTGATTTTGATTGGGAGGAATGTCGGTGATATTTGACTGTCATCGCTGGACAGCTTGTGTTTTTTGCGCCTGTAACGGGCAGCATTTTTCGTACAGTTTCGTTCAGCCGAGATGTCGTCGCTGTTGGACAGTCTGCGTTGATACTGCTGGATGGATGGCTGGTGGAGCCCAGGATGAGGAGAGAGGAATGTCAGCGCGGAGCGAGGATGCATATTTGGAAATGAGAGTTGCCACTTGGAATTGAAGCGGAATTACATGGGACATGAGAAGTGAACCAATCTCTTTTTTCGTCAATGGACGCTACAGCTTTTTGTTTACTTTCACACTTGGCTTGTCGACGACGGGTGCACATTTTGAGCATGACGTCTCTGATCTACTGGTGAAAGGACAGGATCTCAATAAAACAAGAACTTAAATTCAAGTTAAGTTTTCACATTTTGCTTTTAAATTGTCAAAAGCATTGATAAATACATTTATCACTGATTTGAAAAAAACAAACTGTGTGCACATTGTTTTTAGAAGCAGTAGTCAAGAGCTGTGGGAAATCCCGCAAAATAGTTGATTTCTTTGCAAAATTTGTGTGCGTGATTTTTCTGAAGAACTCCAATCCCATTTCCACAAAACAGACAGACAACAATGCATCCTGCTGATGATATGGCCTCTTTGAGTGGTGGTGCGGTCGGATTTCTTCAAAGGAGGAGAGCTAAATTCGAAGCAGTTTTTATCCAAATATTGGAGACAATATAGGGAACATTGATAATAAAATGTTGACTTTAGCATTGCATTTGGAACACAGTGCAGTGTGAATACCTTGGGCTCTGGTTTTCCAGTCATGGTCTTCAGCAGTTCATGGAGGTGCATCCAGTTGCCTTGGGAGTACCAACCGGGTTTGTCCAATGATGGCATATCCTCACTTTCCTCCACATCATTCACTAGAATGGACGAAGAATTAATCCAAATATGAGTAAGTAAACAATCCAATAAACACAGCGGCCAGTGATACAAGACCAATTACCAGAGTAATCGATTGAATCATCGATACGACGATTGGTTCGAAAAAGGTTAGTTTGTGACAGCCTGAGTTTAAATACTGTACATAAAAATGCAGTATGTCTGTAGAACATTTCCAATCAATGGGAGGGCCTTTGAACCTACAAATATTGTGGTTTTTGTTATTGTAAAGTGTCCTTGGGTGTCTTGAAAGGCGCTTATAAATAAAATGTATAATTATTATTCTTAAAATATGACTTACCGTATTTTCCGCACTATAAGGCGCTTCACCGTATAAGGCGCACCCTCAATGAATGGCCTAATTTAAAACTGTTTTCAAATGTAGGGTGCACTGCATTATGAAGGGACTTGCATTCATAGTGCACACTTTAGTATTGCCGTATTGCGTTTTTCATATAGTCACAAAATCCTTGCTGTTGTTCCAGTGCTGTTTTCATGGTTGTAAATGACTCGGTTGGAGGATCGGAATGCGTGACTGCAAATAATGATGTTTTTCTGAGTGTAAATGAGAGACTGTTTGCATTCATGTGTGACTGAGGAAGAGGGGGTGCTGATCGTAACCCTTGTGCTGCAATTTCTACGATGTTTGTAACACATGGGTTACCCCATATGTTACAATTTCTACAATTTTTGTAGATTTTTGCGTATTCTTCATCACGTCATCTTTAAATCAAAGACACAGCATAAAAAGTGTGTGATATGAAATATTCCAATTCATGTTTTATTTATATAGATTTATATTTATGTTTTGGTCATAGCACAATACCGCTTTTATTGTCCATAGAGTGCAAAAATACAAAGAAAAAAATAAGAACTATATGTGTATGTATAGCACTGATGCCACTGAACATGTCGAGTGGTTGAAAGTGAAATAAATATTCAGGAATAATACTTTTACAATTTTTGTAAAATTGTATGTTGCGTTATATAAACTTATTTAGATCGACTGCAGCACATGGGTTAAAGGTGGGTCAAGGGAAAGGCATCTTGGTCACTCTGCCTCGCTACCTTCGCGGTTAGGAGAAGTTGATGACCCAGAGCTCTGTTTAGAATAATTGGCTTGATCTATGCTGTATTCGACTATTTGTTAGGGATTAAATACTTTTCTGTGTTACTGACTCAAAAGACGTGTGCTCCTGATCATTCCTGAGCCCATCAACGAGCACCCCGGAAGTCCGCCAAGGTATTTGATTATTGGTCAAATAGTGTGGTGGGGATTGCGCCTTCAATTATAAGGTGCATAGAATAGATGCCACAATAATGGCTGCGGTTGCGTTATGCATCCATTAGATGGAGCTATGTTGATAATATCATATAATACAATATAATACACGTATTATTCAGGGATTAAATGTCAATTTTCTCAGAAGCCGACAGTGGACCTTATAATTCGATGCGCCTTATATATGGTATTCTAATTTCTTGGACGTAGTATTTGAATGTTCTGACAATGAATGAATGCTCCATATCAATAAAGCTGTATTATATTGTATATATATTATATACAGACCAGAGAGTATTTTGATTTATTTTTCAACTACGTGGATTTCAATTTGATCATAAAGTTGGGCTTTTGCAATAAAATGTTCCTTAGTTCTGAACTATTTTCATTATTAACTATTAGCTAGTAACTATTTCATAAACACATAACGTGACATTTGTTCCATCCTTCTGCGGTCTGTGCGTTATCTGGCAACCCCAACCCCGCCCCTCTCAAAGATAACGGAATCATGGCAAAAAGGTTACCGTATTTTCCGCACTATAAGGCGCACCGAAAAGTCCTCAATTTTCTTAGAAGCTCACAGCACGCCTTAAAATTCGGGGCGCCTTGTGTATGGTCATTACGGTAATATGTCGACCCCAAAATGGTTCCTGAATCCTTGCTGGAGACATGCTTACAATGTTATAACTTGCTGTTGGTTCAGTGAACTGTGTCGCTGCTTTATTGACTAAGTTTTTGTTGCAGCTCCGAAAAAAGGAGAGCTGTGGTGTTGTTTTTTAAAAACGCACACTTTTTCACAGTCTCGACAATTACAGGTACGTCTTTGTCCGTCTCCGTGCCTTCTCTTTTTCCCGTTCGACTCAAAAGGCGTTCATGACCGCCTCGGAAAAACCTAAATTAACGATTCCTTCAATGAAACTACGAAAATTGAAAATAATGCATCAAAACAGAAAATCAAGCGAGGTAATCCCAAAATAAATTCTATAGCCCCACTACAGAATTTGTTTTGTGATTTCCTCGTTTGTGAATACACACAACAAAGGAATAAATAACAAACACTCTGAGACAGTCCAGTCTCCTCCAATTTACTGACATCTGATCGCTCTGTTGCAGCTACGCTCAAGGAAACG